AAAAAAAAAAAAAAAAAAAAAAAAAAATAGCTACCATGCTGACACCTATGCTAAACACTGTACATTCATTATTTTGAATTTTCATAACTTTAAAGTAGAAGTTTTCTCTATTACCATTTCACAAATGAAGGAATAATCTAAAGTAAGCCTTTTCTTATTGGAAAACACTACTTAAGAAAAATCAGTATAAAGAAGCCAGGCACACTTGGAGGCTGAGGCAGGAGGATCACTGTGAGTTTGAGGCTGTCCTCGGTACACAGCGAGTTCAAGGCCAGCCTGAATTATGTAGTGAGACCTTGTCTAAAAAAAGAAAAAAGAAAGAAAAATCAGTACAATAAACAGCAAGTATTGGAGAATCTAAGGGAAACTTTTGAGTATTTCATTTTACTAGTTTTTTTTTTCCTTTTGCCTAATCTCACTTTAAAACATACTGTTAGCACCTCTCTTAACATTTGTTAAACTTGATTAGGGATGGATTTATAGTTCAGAGTTACAGAGGAGAGAATACAATAGTATGAAATTACATTTTTTTGTCTTTGAGGAAAAATGGGAGTAATTTAGGAAAAAATAACTTTAAGAAAAGACTGTGTATGTATTTGTAACAAATTTGCTTAGAATGAAATTAACTGAGCTGTGAGTAGAAAGATAGGACATAATTTTATTTTTTGGTTTTTTTGTTGTTGTTGTTTTCCAGTACCAGGAATCGAACTCAGGACCTTGCACTTGCTAGGCAGGTGCTTGTACTGCTGAGCAATATCCCTGGCCCTGGGACATAATTTTAAATGTGATACTTGATCTAGACAATATTTGTTCAGTCTGCCTGATGTGACTTAACCCAAACATCATGGTCCGGCAAAGTATGGAAATTGTAGAAGTTACCTGACTGTTTATCAGTTAAACCTTCATGTTACAGAGCAGAAAGAAGAAATCATTTGTTCATGTTTGTACATCTGATTTGGGACTAGAGCCATTCTTTCCTGTTTTCATTGCCCTTCCCTGAACTTGTTTTGTAGTCAGAGTAATATCTGGCTATTGGCTATTTGTCTGTTAAGAATATTTGTGAATGAAGTATTTGTATCTCAGAAATACCTGCCTTGAGCCGGGCATGGTGGTGCACGCCTGTAATCCCAGCATTCGGGAGGCTGAGGCAGGAGGATCGTTGCCAGTTTGAGACTAGCCTGGGCTACAAAATGAGCTCAAGGCCAGCCTGAGCTGCATAGTGAGACTCTGTCTCAAAAAGACCGAAAAAAAAAAAAGAAATATCTGCTTTGACATTTTCACTGCCAGAAAACCCCAGCGATAATTGTAACTCCAGGGCATTAGAGTACTAGGAATCCAAATTACTAAAGCTTGTTAAAAGGCACAAAGATGGAAAACAAAAACAAAAACAAAAAAACACCACAAGGTGTTCGCTGAGCACAGAGGACCTGCCTATCATCCCATCTACTCAGGAGAATGAGGCCCAAGATCACTTGAGCCTGCCAGTTTAAGGACAGCCTGGCAACGTACCAAGACACCATCTTTACCCAAAAAAAAAATCAGAATGTAAATTGACATCAGAACTCGCGTATTATAAATCAAAGGTGTTTCAATCTTCCACTCTTATTATTTACCTGTTTAACTGTCTTGCACCAAATAATTTGTAGTACCTTAAATGTTCTGCTGTGCTTTTCTGTAGTTTAAAAATTATTTCTCTCAGTTTGAAAGAAGTATTTATCTTGTCATAGCTGTTGATCACAAATAAAAATCAATAAATTTGTTTTGTTTGTTAAACCAAGGTTGATCCCAGGGCATTTCCCTAAGCCGTTTTTTACTTTCTTTGAGATAGCATCTGGCTAAATTGCCCAGGGTAGCCTTGAACTTGCGATTCTCCTGTGTCAGCCTCCTATCGTGCTGGGACTGTAGGCATGTGGCATAATGCTCAGCTTACAAGTGATGTTTTTCAAAGAAAGCTTGTAGATTAGTGGCATAGATGAATGGTAGAACACTTCTCTAGCATGTGTGAGACCCTGGGTTCAAGCCCCAGTACCACAAAAGTCAATAAATGAATGAATGAGCAGATAAATAAGCTTCTGTGTGAACTCCATCAACCATCTCATGATTGTCTTTAATAGAGTCCAGAAGAAGTATTTATGGCTATCCGAAACCCTCTGGAGTGGCACTGTAAGCAAATGGATCATTTTGTCGGACTCAATTTCAACTCTAACTTTAACTTTGCACTGGTCGGACATCTTCTAAAAGGTAAAGGAACCCTGTGTCAGAATGTTTTTGTGAACCACTGTCATGAAGCCAGAAGTGATTAAAATAATCAGTTACTGAGAATAAATTGAAATAACTCAGTCTATATATTTTACTTTAAATACAAACAATATCTTATTGAATTGTGTATTCTTCAATACATATTTTTAAAGAGCTTTATTTCCATATCAAATATCAGATTTCCTTCAAAAACCAAGAGTTGATTCTCAAAACTAGAGCACTATAGGGCTGAGGATATACTACCACCACCCCAAAAAATCCAAAACTACTATACTGCTTACATATTTTGTTAATCACCATAATAAAACTATAAATTAGTATATTTTTTGATAAATACATATTTGGAAGTGTTATTGTACAAATTTGATAAGAGATTCTCTTCAACTTGTTTCTGCGTATAGATTCATACCATTATTGTATATCACAGAGCCATGCCTTTCAGGTCCCCAGTACCCCGCCCCCTGCCGCCAAATTTCTATATTGATTGGAGCCAGCATTCTCCAGCTATTCTTCAGCACTCATGCATTTTCTTTTTTTTTTGGTTTTTTGTTTTTGTTTTTTTCTGGTACTGGGAATCGAACTCACGACCTTGCACTTGCCAGGCAGGTGCTGTGCCACTGATCTAAATCCCCAGCCCCAACTCATGCATTTTCTAACCTGGCTTTACTCCATGGTTCATTAACATGAGCCAGTCAGAGCCACAGACCACCATTAGCTGGGAGAGCATATACTTAGGGTCAGAGGCAACACAGTGTCAATCTACAGCATGAGTCTACAATTTTGTATCTATTTAAATAATTCTTAGGTTTGAAGGATTCTAGAAGTTCCCCACTACATACTTCTACAGAAAATATTGACACTTTCAGAACTCCAGTGGCATACTTCACTAGCATGTGGTGCTTACACATGAAAATATTGAGTTTTAATCTCTAAAGTAAGCAAGCATTGCCCAACAGATACTACACTTACTGCACAATACCAAGACAAGAGTTGCAACCCTTGTTAATAAAGTGCTTGCTTACTGCATATTTCTTAAAGAGTATTGGATATTTTCAGCATTCAAATCCCTATTTTAAAATGGAATATAAACCAGGCATGGTAATGCATGCCTGTAATCCCAGCACTTGGGAGACTGAGGCAGGGAGATTGCTGTGAGTTTGAGGCCAGCTTGGACTACATAGTGAGTTCAAGACCTGGCTGAACTACAAGCAAGACCTTGCCTCAATCAATCAACCAATAATGGAATATTTTCATGATTAAAAGCAGTTGAGGGGCTGGGGATTTAGCTCAGCAGCACAGCGCCTGCCTGGCAAGCGCAAGGTTGTGAGTTCAATTCCCGGTACCGGAAAAAAAAAAAAAAAGAAGATAAAAGCAGTTGAATATCACCTTTTGTGGTTTTTTGGTTTTTTTTTTGTTTGTTTGTTTGTTTGTTTGTTTTCTTTTTTTTTTTTTGAGACAGAGTCTCACCATGCAGTTCAGGCTAGCCTTGAATTTGTGACAGTTTTCCTGCCTCAGCCTCCCAAATGCTGAGATAACAAGCACGCATCACCACACCCAACTTGAAGATCATTTTCTAATCAAGCCTTTTGCAGGTGTAGAGCTATGTTTCCTATGTCATTACACTTTTCTTCTTTCAATTTAAAAAAGATGTGGTCTTTTTATATAATGAAATATTACTCAGCCATAAAGAACGTTAAACTGGAAACTTTTGTAGGTAAATGGATGCACCTTGAGACCATACTCATAAGTGAAATAAATCAGACGCAAATGTGTAAACATGTACTGTTTACCTAGTGTGAGAAGAAAGAGTAAATAAGATCCAAGATGTACAGTAGATACTGTGAAATGGGAAGAAACTTCAAAAGGAAAGAGAAGGTGTTGTGGGGGGATGGAAGAAAGGAAGAAAAAAGCAAAAGAAATATACATACATATATAAGTATATATATACAGAAGACAGTTAATGTAGTTATACTGCTAATTTATTTATTGAAAGTAGGTTTGTGTTAATATTGTTTGGACAATTAAATGCTGCTGTCTTGTACTCTGGGTAAAGAGAATAGTATGCAATGTATTAACCACTGTTACCCTCTCATCATATTGTTTTGGATATTTGTTTTTTGTTTTTGCTTTGCTTTTGGGGTTTTTTTGTTTCTTTAAGCTAAAATTTTTTTTAAAAAATTCAAAGAACATAATTTTAAAAAGAATTATTCAGTAATACCTCTACTTTCAAAGAAATCTTAAGGGAAACTCCAGTGCATTGTTTTGTTTTTAACATCCCTGTGTTAAAAACATAAGGAATGGAAGCACTGAAATACCATTATCTTCCTGAATTTTTCTGTTCTGAGGTACCTTCTTTTTTTTTTGGCTTTTTTCTGGTACCGGGAATTGAACTCACGACCTTGCATTTGCCAGGCAGGCACTGTGCTGCTGAGCTAAACCCCCAGCCCACCTGAGGTACCTTCTTAACATTATACTGTGCTACACAGTTTAGTGCTTAATCCTATAGTAATTAAGCAGTCATATATGTATGTTTTACTATTACAAATGGCTATTCTTAGAAGATGTGAATGATCGCTTTTACTTCCTTTCCTTGCAGACTTGCACATCACAGAATAAAAATTCAAATATTTCTTTATAGACTAAATTAACTCCGTATTGTTTCTGGTTTTTTTGTAGGGTACAGGCATCCTTCACCTGCCATTGTGGCAAGAACAGTAAGAATTTTGCACACACTGTTAACTCTGGTTAATAAACACAGAAATTGTGACAAATTTGAGGTGAATACACAGAGCGTGGCTTACCTAGCAGGTAAAAACACAAAATAGACAGAATTAATCTTACCAGATCTGTATCTTAGGAACACCAGAGAGATACAAATGCCTACCTGTGCATCCTTCAGCTAATTAATTGGCAGCAGAAAGAGTTCATAGTCAGTGCTTTGGTAATGCTTACAGTTTTTTAAGTTTTGCCAAAACACTTAGAAAAGAGTTGCAATAAAATCTGACACGTAGTCTCTTTGTCATCTTTTATTTAGGGTAGCACAATAGCTGCCTGCTGTCTGTCACAAAATCTGAACATCTCCACCTAGCATCCTGGGCCCTTAAACAGCCCTCTGCTATTCTGTCTCCTTTATCTACATTTCACAAGCCTTATATTTTTACTGTCCTCCCACTGGATGTGTGATTTTGAGCTAATCTGCTTTCATCTCCTATAAGTGACTCTCATTCCTTGGGCCATTTCACCTGGAATTTGTGCCCCATCCCCACCCTTCCATTCAACCTTCCCCATTGCTCTTACCTGATTTTTGTTTCTCTGCTCAGCAACACTTAGCACTTTATATCACACAGTCCTTAAGCGTAGCTGTTGGATGGCAAGTGCAGATTTCTTTTCATGACAAGTTTTTTGTTTAAACCATATAACCTTGCACAAATCATTTAACATTTCACAGTATTTTTCCTCAGTGGACTTGGTAATACCTGCCTTGCTTACTTTTTGTGTTTGAGACCAATTGTACACGCAAGCAGGTGAAAAAACAAGGTGTTATCAAATCCCTTCTTGTGTCTCATGTTAATGTCTTTCAAAACAGACTACAAACCCCTGAAGAGAAACAAAAGTCTGTCTTAAGTGTTTATACCCTTACACCTCCTATCCTCTCTAGGGGTCTTTACATGCATATTTAATAGGCCTTATCCTTTGTAGAAGGTTGTAAGAAATATACTCTAGATTACACTTGTGATTTGTTGCATTTTTCAAAATCTGCCTTCTCTTGTTCCTTTCAGCTTTACTCACAGTGTCTGAAGAGGTTCGAAGTCGCTGCAGCCTAAAACACAGAAAGTCCCTTCTTCTTACTGATATTTCAATGGACAACGTTCCTATGGATATATATCCCATTCATCACGGTGACCCCAGCTATCGGTAAATGCACCTGCCGTCCCATAATTACGTAATTATAACCAAGTTTCAGTTTTCCATAGTGATGGAGGCAAACAGCAGAGTAATCTAGAAGGAAATATACAGGGGAATCTAGAGATAAGTCACATAGAGTATGTAACTCAAAGCCCATTTTATAAACATGCAGTTTATGTGAGTTCGTAGTAAGTTATTCTTCTAGTGTGATTGTGCTAATGTTATCATTAGTCTGTCTATTTTAAGCACAAACCACTTGAATAATGAAAACAAATGATTTTGAAACTATTGGGTTGTAAGAAAGGGGCCTAGAAACTACACTAGATGTAAGCAATAGTACATGCTTAGAAACTAAGCTATACAGACAGGAATATAGCTCAGCGGCACCGCGCCTGCCTGGCAAGCACAAGGTCCTGAGTTTGATTCCTGGTACAAAAAAAAAGCAAACTAAGCTCTATAGATTTATAAAAACATGTACATGACCACACATTTATTATGTTTATTTATAATATTTTAAAGTTATTAGAAAGATTTCTATAGTATGGGTATAGATGATAAAATTAGTCCATTGTTACATGGTTCGGGGTAGTATATTTTTCAGTATAGCTTATAGAAATTACATGAAAATTGCATCATTTATGGATTTTTCTATATTTTCAATTAAAAATATTTTAAAGATTTAGCTATAGGGTTGAACATAAGAAAGTAACCTTGTTTTTTGGGTTTTTTTTTTTGGTTTTTCTCTGGTACCGGGAACCGAACTCACGACCTTGCACTTGCCAGGCAGGCGCTTTTGCCGCTGAGCTAAATCCCCAGCCCCAAGAAAGTAACCTTGTGCGGGGCATGGTGGTGCACGCCTGCAGTCCCAGCATTCAAAACGCTGAGTCAGGAGGATCACCACAAATTTGAGGCCAGCCTGGGCTACCTGAACTACATAGCAAGGCCTTGTCTCAAAAAAAAGTAATCTATTTTTACAGTTTATATCATGCAGCTTATTAACATCCTGCTTTTCCATAAAAAGCCCTCCACAATGTTCTTCTAAGATTTTAACAATGTACACAGAAGTTTTCCATATGTACATGGTACTCTAATAGTCTCAGTCTTCTGTCATTCTCATGAATGTATTTTCTTTGAAATAATGTCCTTTTTTTTGGTTTTTCTCCGGTACCAGGAGCCGAACTCACAACCTTGCACTTGCCAGGCAGGCGCTTTGCCGCTGAGCTAAATCCCAGCCCAATAATGTCCTTTTTTTAATGGAAAGGGAAAAGTGAGTTTTCCTGTTTTCTCCTATCAAAGTTGGAATTAAAATTTTATTTTCTTGGTTTTTAAAACAAAAATTCAACTGCCTTGACTTGATTTTCCCCAATTAAAAAATTTAGTTCAAAAAAAAAAAAATTTAGTTCAAAGTCAGGCATGTTGGCATATACCTGTAATCGCAGGTACGTAGGAAGCTGAGGCAGAAAGATCATAAGTTTGAGGCTCCACAGCTCCACGGGCCAACCTGAACAACTTAGAACCTGTCCCAAAGTGAAAATTGAAAGGGATAGGGATGTATCTTAGTGGTAGAGTACCACCAAAAATTAATTAAGTAAGTGCAATAAGTTCAGGAGATCTGTTATACAACATAGTGTCTATCTTTAATGACAGTGTACTGTATACTTGAAAATTGCTTGGGTTCTATCCCCAGCACAGCAGGGAAAAAAAAGAAAATTGCTGAAAGTAGTTTAAGTGTTCTCATTACAAATAAATGGTAAGTATGCAAGAAATGCCCATGTTAGCTTGATGTAATCATTACACACATACACACACATATGCATGTATGTATGCATATATTTTTCAAAACAGGTACACCATGAATACATCCAATTTTTGTCAGTTTAAAAAGTTAATAAGGGATGGATGTCACTCCACTGATGTCACTCCAGTGCCTGCCTGATGTGTGAAGCCCTGGGTGTGATTCCCAGCACCAGGAAGAAAAAAACAAATTGTGGCCTGGGAGAGAGAAGGAGAGAGGGAGAGGGAGGGAAGGAAATAGAAAGAAAGGAAAGGAAAGCAATCAGTTAGTAAAATCAGTGCAGTAGAATTCTTCCTGTTTAGCATTTGGTGAGTACCTACTGTGCTAAGATACTATGCTGAGAAAGTTGGTGTTTCCTGAGAATACATTCAGAGTTTGTACTGTAAAGCCTTTAAAGTGCAATTTTAAAATTAAATGATTGCAGCGATTGGGAAACAGAGCAGCTTCTTAGAATAGGCAAACAATGATTGTATTTGTCACCTAACGCTTCTCTGTTGTTTAAATTTCTAAGGGCACTAAAGGAAAACCAACCATGGTCCTCTCCCAAAGGTTCTGAAGGATACCTTGCAGCCACCTATCCAACTGTGGGCCAGACCAGTCCCCGAGCCAGGAAATCCATGAGCTTGGACATGGGGCAGCCTTCTCAGGCCAACACGAAGAAGTTGCTTGGTTAGTTTATCTTAATTTTGTACAATTTTTAAGATGATTATTCTGAAAAAAAAATTACATACTTTTATACTTGAAAAATTATTTGAAATTGCTTAATATTATCATGATTTTCCACTTTGTACCAAAGATTCTATGCTTGTTATAAGAGAATTTGATAAATCAGTTAAGCCGTATCAGTTAGTATAGAGAAATGAAAACTGGACATTTATCATCCCCTGCCCACAATTTTTTCACTAAATACTGTGGCTCTTCTTGTTTTGTTCTGCCTTTCATGGGCAGCAGATGACGGGAACAGGAAAGCCATTAGATATCTGTACGCAGGGAAGAGTTGCTGCACTCAAGGCTTTAGTGAGGTAGCACTTCCCCAAACTGTCATTTGAGAGCAGAATAATCAGTATGGTATAAAGCTATAATGCTAGTTACCATGTTGTCTTTGAAAAAATATTAGATTATTAATTATTATAAGATTCTTTTTTCTGTTCTTTATTAGTAAATGTTTGTAATGCATAGTAAATGCAAGATTGATTCTTGAAGGTTAAGATGGTTCGGTTACATCAGCATGTGTGAGAATACACCTAAATGCTGTGAGACCCTTCGCTGTTTCAGTAACTGAAAGTCAATACCTGAAAGAGCCCACTGAGTCCATCTCGCACCACAAAGGAAATACAAAACAGCCGTGTAGTCCATTAGCTCAAGTTTTACTTGTTAACTGGACTGTATATTGGTATCTGTATTTCGTTAACCAAAACTGAATGGTTCAGTGGATTTCAGTTATCAAATATGTATGTATCACAAGGTAGTATTGGGAAGATGTTTGTGTTCATAAGGAAATTAGTGAACAAACAACAAAGTGTAGCATAGCTAGCCTGCCAGTAGATCGTGAAAGACATAGAAACCATGAATGGTAATTACAGTTACTGGTCACATAGTTCTGTTTCCTTTTGTTTGGGTTCCTTTCTGTTGGTACTTTGCCTTAGGAAATCTTTTAGGAGTTTCCTGGTTACTTTGTGTTTTGTAATTCTGATTTTCATGCAAAGGAAATTGTAAATGAAAATCCAACCTCGGAGAAGTGCCATGAATTCATTTCATCCATATTCTTGTTGAAAAGGTGGGCCGTGGAGGGGCTTACAGTTTGAAGCTAAAGGAATGACAGCAGCATCTGCCAGATGCCGTTACAGTGATGTGTTTTGACAGGGGAAACTGAGGATCTAGGGAAATTAGGAAAAGTTGCAGAGAAGAGAGAACATTTCAGCTGTGTTACAAATTTTGATATATGCTTATCAGGTGGATAGAGGAAAAGGAAGGGCTCAGATTCAAGACAGGAGGAACAGCATAAATAAAGAAGTTAGGAAAACAGCTAGCAGCGGATCATAGCATCATGGGGACTGGTGTAGAAAATAAGACTAGAGAAGGAACAAAACCTGAGCATGAAAGAATTCATGTGCATGTTAAGAGATTTAGCCTTACTTTGTAAGCAGCAAAGATATTTTAAGTAGGGAAAGAACATGACCAAATTTTTTTTGGACAGTTTTTTTGGCAGCAATATGGAGAAATAGGAAGAGATTCTTGGCAAGCAGACCATTTAGCAGATTGATACATCAGTCCAAATAAAAATCAGTGTAGGCCTGCATTAAGACACGAGTCTTGGAAAAAAAAAGAGGAATCAGGCTTGGGGTAGATTTCTAACACAGAAAAGACAAAACTGCTGGACATATATCCAAAGAAAATTAAATCACGTATTGAAGAGGCACCTGTTCCCACGTGTATTGCAGCACCATGCATAATAAATAGCCAAGAAATGGAAACAGCCTCAGTATCTACCAGCTGATGGATGAATAGAACAAATCCATTGTGTAAATTTACACAATGATCTTCACTTGATTTTAGCCAAAAGGCCAAGAACCGATTACACAATAATCTTCAGCCGTAAAAAGAATGAAATCCTGTCATTTGTGATGACATAGATAGAACTGGAGATCATTATGTTAAGTGAAAATAAGTGAGGCAAAGACAGGTACCACCAGACTCCACCCATATTGGGAATATAAAAAAGTGATCTTACAGACATTGAGAGACTGATGGGAGATTATCTGGAAGGGAAGGCTGGGGAAAAGCTGACCATGAGCACCAAGGCGTAAGAAGCACTGGTGTGCTGCTACACAGTAAGCTAGGTACAGATGGGAATAATGCACTGTACATTTCAGAAAGTTAGAAGGAAGGATTTTGAATGTTTTCACTCTAAAAAAAATTACAAATGAGCTGGAAGTGGCTGGCACATGCTTATAATCCCAGTATTCCATAGGCTGAAGCAGGATTATGTGTTTGACGTCAGCCTAGGCTGCATAGGGAGACCTTGCTCCCCCCAAAAGATAATGTCTGAAGAGATAGATATGCTTACCCAAACTATATGATGTTTAATACCCCATTAATATGTATCATTTTTATGTATCCTTTAAAAAATAAATTTAATTTTAAAAGAAGTCCAAGGCCAGGGATATAGCTCAGTGGCACGAGCACCTGCCTGGCAAGCGCAAGGTCCTAAGTTCAATTCCTACACCAGAAAAGAATAGAGAAAAGAAGAGAAAAAGAGAAGAGAAAAGAAAAAAAGAAAAGAAAAGTGATCCAAATGCGTGTTAGTTATAAGGAACATACTTCAACTATGGTACAGATACCTCAAAAATAAAAGGACAGAAAAAATACAAAGGACACCGGGTATGATGGCACACACCTATAATCTCAGCATTTGGGGGGGGTGAGGCAGAAGGATCACTGCGAGTTCAAGGCCAGTCCTGCACTTTTTGAGACCTTGTCTCAAAAAGAAAAAGAAAAAACACAAGGGGAAAAAACTGGTTCAATAATGGTTCTACTCAAAGAAATCAGGACATATATATAAATTCAGGTTAGTTCATAATTATATTTGAGATCCTTTCAGTATATCTAGCAGTGTATATCCAAGAGAAAAATGAAAAGATAAATCAATCTGGAGTTAAGGGAGAAAGAGGTAAACAAACGACACATTTAGAATTGATTAGCTCATAGATAGTCGAGCTGTGGATACAGAAGGAAGCCTGGGAAGAACGCACAGAGTAAAATAAAAAGGGAGAATAAAGAAAGTAGAGAAACTAAATGCAGAGTAGTGTCCTGTGCAGTATGGAAAGCGTGAACCTAGTTTTCAGTCTGACCATTAACTAGATCCCTGGTCGTGTGACCTCAGGATAATTATTCAATGGCTCATGGCTTCCTCTCTTTGCAAGAAATGAAGAGGCTGGCCTGGATCCTTTTGGGCTTGATATTTATGACTACTACAAATATTTATTAGTATTAGTACTTTAGGCTAATGAAACATTGTATTTGTCAAGTGTTCAATTATCTGATTTTGTTATATAGGCTTCAATTCTAGCTTTTTAAAAATGTTAGAAGTATGCTAGATTTTTTTTTACAGGTTGAAATTTCAATTTTATCTCAAAATGATAAATAAACTAAGGCCTAGTTCTGACCACATACTGCTTCAGAAAGTTTTGCGAAGTTACTGAAAGAGTTCCATGAGGCCTCTAATAAGACCCAGAATGATACCAACAAAACTTACTATTGGCCAGATTTTTTTCCGAGAGCTGTTCTAATAGGAATTAGAAGTCTTTGAATGTAAAGAATAAAAATTGTCAATTTCTAATACTTCAATTTCAATATTTTTACTTTAAATAAGAGAAAGATACTTAAATATTAGTATGATACATGATTGGAGAAACTCAAAGCCGAGTGTGAGATAGTAGCACTTGCTGTTTTGAAGCATCTCCGTACACGTCGTCTTTGGTATTTTCAGGCATGCATGTCATCTTCTCGAAGGCTGAAGAGCTAAAACCAAACTTTAATTTTTGACTACATTTGTAAATTTTTCATATGTTAATGACTAATTCTTGGCATCAGCAGAATTTCTTAAATTGAAAAGACTGTTCTGATACGGTCGACCTTTGCTACTGAGCACGTACCCCTCTGTATTTGTTATCAATACTTTACTTGTTGGTAGACCTTGGTTCACCTGCAGTGTAGTTCAATGTAATCTTAGTTTCATTAGGGCCAGGAAGGTGCTCCTGTTCTAAAATCGAAAGCTATCCCTTTGAGAAGATGGAGAATAAAGGAGAGAAACTCTGCTTCAGTGATATGTTTGAGTTCTGTTGGGGTCTTTAGTGAAAGTTTAAACACTTTATGTCCAAACATTTTCTTTTAGTATGTTCTTTGTCATAGACACAATGGTTAATGAATTTCCATATTCTGTTACTTTTGTTTTAGGAACAAGGAAAAGTTTTGATCACTTGATATCAGACACAAAGGCTCCTAAAAGGCAAGAAATGGAATCAGGGATCACAACACCCCCCAAAATGAGAAGAGTAGCAGAAACTGATTATGAAATGGGTGAGAAAGTTAATAATTGATATGTGTCATTGATAGTAAGGTGGGAGAGTACCTCAGACACATGTACTTTCCAGCCGTGTATTCAATCTTTAAGATGCTGTACAGAAGCATTTGTTCTTCAAAAGATAAACTCTGCAGTCCTTAAAGTGATACTTATCCTGGAACCTGTACAAAAAGTCATCAGATGTATGATACACAGTTTTGTAAATAGCTAGCCAAAATTTTGTGTAGGTGAATAGTAATTCTATCTATTTTGATGTTGTAAGTGTCTACCAAAATGCGGTTAAATTTTAGAACCTTGAAGTATGTTAGGTGAAGTGGCTATGCAGTGCTTTGTTAATATAGCTGATCTTGTTCATCCATGTCTTACCGCAGAAACTCAAAGGGTTTCCTCGTCACAGCAGCACCCACATTTACGTAAAGTTTCAGTGTCTGAATCGAATGTTCTTTTGGATGAAGAAGTACTTACTGATCCGAAGATCCAAGCGCTTCTTCTTACCGTTCTAGTAAGGATTTTCCCTTTCTGAGGGTTTTCCCCACTGAAAGTTATATTCCAGTCTACTCTAAGGAGCCTTTTTTAAAATTAATTTTACAGGTACATTTTAGATATACGTAATGATCACAGTTCATTAGAGGGAATTTGTACCTGTACAGAAAATGTCTTTTTTAAAACTCCTTTTTGAGATAGGGTCTCCCTATGTAGTTCAGGCTGACCTTGAACTCACTGTATAGCCCAGGCTGGCCTCAGACTCTCAGCAATCCTCCTGCCCCAGCCTTCCTGTTGGGATTACAGGCATGCACCACCACACCCAGGCCATAATATATTTTGATCCTTCTTTTTCCCCAATCTCCTCCCCTCCCTTCAACCCCCCTTCCCCTTTAAATGTTAAAAACGTGAAAGGAAGATCGTCTTCTGCTTCTCACCAAAACATCCGACAGTTCAATCACAAAATAAAGATATTCCTTGTTTACTTTTTGCGTCTTGGCAGGCAACGCTGGTAAAATATACTACGGATGAATTTGATCAACGAATTCTTTATGAATATTTAGCAGAGGCCAGCGTTGTGTTCCCCAAAGTATTTCCTGTTGTGTAAGTATCTCCTTCTGTATTTCATTAACCTTTGTACCTATTTTTATGTCCAATGCTCTGTAAAGGATTAGGGAAATATATTACCCGATAATGTTTACTAGTTGCAAAAATAGCAAAATGAGATAGAGCAGTAATGACTTTTAGCTTAGAGATAGTGGTTTAAGCAGGCTGCAGTTGTAGCTCAGTATGTTCTCAGGATGCACAAAGCCCCACTTTTGATCCCCAGTCCCAGAAAAACAGAAACATGGTGGGTTTAATGGTGGCTAAAACTAGCTTTAACCTATCAGGAAAACCTTTTTTTTTTCTGCTCTTGTTGATTTACTTAAGTGGTTCACAGTGATGAGCACTGTTCAGTTTTCTCACCTAGGAGCAAACTGGTTTAAATCTGCACACCATTATGCTATATTTCAATCTGCATACTATTTGGTTTTCTTTTTAATAGAGCTTTTGTATTTACCCACAGCTGAATGAAATTCTCCTATTTGAGAATTAAATTTTATTCTCTTTTAACACCTTAGCCTCAGTGTTCAAATTTAAATAGCCCTCCTGGCGTGGTCCTGCACGCCCATAATCCCAGCAATCAGGAGATTGAGGCCAGAGGCTTATTGTGGGTTTAAGTCCAGCCTGGGCTACATAGTGAGACCCTGTCTCAAAGCAAAAAAAAAAAAAAAAACCTAAAAAAATTTTAAGTAACCCAAATAAACCAGAGTATTCTGCTCCAATTGAGAGCTTCTACACAGCATAATTATTTTATTTTTGGTTGATTGCATTATAAATTTTTCAGATTTTATGTAGGTAGGTCCTAGTTCTTTTCAATGAGTGTAGCAAGGTTAAAAATAATTAATTTCTTCCTACAGTTTCATTGGATGGTTATGCTATCCCTTCCAACCTAATTTTGCTTGCCTTCATAAAATTCAGTCTGATTGAGCATTTATGAAGAACTGATTAATATTAAATTTAATCTTAACTCCCTGAATACCTATCAGCAGACAACAGAAAGAAATGGTCTTAAATGTGCTAAGCGGCAGATAGCAGCCAACCTTGTCTTGAAAAAAGCATTCACAATATATAGTTAGATGTGGGTATATGACACCACTAGTTGTTTGTGTTTACTGTATTTTCCCTGATGACTAAAAGCAAAACAAAAGGTGAACCAAAAAGCAAACACACACACACACCAAAGAAAATTTGAAAAATACAGAAAAGCATTGGAAAGTTAAAAGCACTCATGTCCCTTTAATTCTGCCACATTGTTCCGTTTTTCAGTAGCTCTTTTCATTGATTACCCTCTAAAATATTTCTTTGTTGACTTTTATTTTTTTAGGCACAATTTGTTGGACTCTAAGATCAACACCTTGTTGTCATTATGCCAAGATCCAAATTTGTTAAATCCAATCCATGGAATCGTGCAGAGCGTGGTGTACCATGAAGAGTCCCCACCACAGTACCAAACATCCTACCTGCAAAGTAAGTTAGCAGAAGGATGACTGAGGAGCTTGCCAACATGTGCACTGCTGTAGAATGCGCTGACTGCGGAATTCTTTATCAGGGATAGGCTTGTTCATGCTTCTCTCTCCATATGCAGTTTTCCGACTCCCATAATCATACTCCCTATTATAACTGCTTGACAACTTCATTAAAATACAGCTTTATACTGAGTCTATTTTAAGTAAGTTTTAGTCTGCTTGGACACTCATTCTAAAATGTTTTCATTGTGCTTGTAGGCTTTATAAATCAACTGTACAACTTAATTTCTATTACCACTAAAAGATACCGTGTCTCTTATAAGAGTAACATTTGATTTGTTGCAGGTTTTGGTTTTAATGGCCTGTGGCGGTTTGCAGGACCCTTTTCAAAGGTATAGAAACATATATTTCTCTTATGTTTCACAAAACTTTTTATCCATGTTAATATTTTTGCTTTAAAAATGTGTTCTATACTGAAAACCAGAGTGACAACTCACAATAAGCACATTTTCAGAAAAAGTTTTTCAGCGCAAGATTTCTCTTAAAAGGTAACGTCAGCCACGCATGGTGGTGCACACCTATAATTCCAGCACTGTGGAGGCTGAGGCAGGAGAATCATTGTAAGTTCAAGGCCAGCCTGAGCTACATAATGAGTTCAAGGCCAGCCTGAACTACATAGCAAGGCCCTGTCTCAAAAAAGAAAAAAGAAAAGAAAAGAAAAGAAAAGGCTTGCTTCTTTTTTTTTTTTTTTTTTTCTTTTTGAGACAGGGTATCACTTTGCAGTTCAGGCTGGCCTTGAGCTCACTTTGTAGCCCAGGCTGGTCTTAAACTTGCAAAGATCCTCCTACCTCTGCCTCTCAAGTTCTGGGATTACAGGCATGTGCCACTATGCCCAGCTGTAAGCATCTTTAACATCTTTGTACATTATTTTTTACAAAAACAACTCCTTTTATGCTGACTTCACAGAAGGATGTGATAAATCTCTGTAAAACTTTGCAGAAGGGTGTGATAAATCTCTTTCTAACCACAGACTGTTGTGTATTTGATAATTTTAATGTACACATTCAAATATGACCTGTAAGGGGCTGGGGATTTAGCTCAGCACACAGCGCTTGCCTGACAAGCGCAAGGTCGTGAGTTTGATTCCCAGTACCGGAAGAAAACAAACAAACAAATATGACCTGTAAGAAGCATTACCTACGGTTGTAATCTACCTCATGAAAACATGTTTACATCCAACAGTATTTGATTAGATTCATTACTCTGTTCATTTTTTTCTTTGGCATTAGTTGATACAGTGCTACATAAATACGTGTTTAATTACTTTCTCTTTATATGCTTTCTCCAAATTCACTGAAGTTCCTTGAAGGCAGAGCATCTGTACCTTCCCCCTATAATTCCTAGCACAGTGTTCTAGATACCGGGGTATTAAATGTCTTGATATGCGAGGTTGTCACTAAAAAAGTAGGCCTAATGTCATAGAAATAAGTGTATCATGCAGCAGTTTTTGTACTTAGACTGCCATAACCCTCTGCGCCTTTCATAGTGTCTAGTTAGTGGAATCCAAATAGCAGCTGGAATGATGATGTTCTGCTCATTTTCTCTGTTTTGGAAAATTGGCTAGACATTCCTGATGATTGTACTGTCTCAGCATTTAGTCTGACTGCACATGGCTTTCAGAAATTGCAGGTTCATCTGGAAGCACTAAAGGAAGCTGAATAAAATTCCCAGGTTTAAGTCCTATGGTAGTCAATAAATGTTACTCCACTCCCTTTTTAAATGATCTATAATATAATATAAACAAAGGGAAAAAATAATAAATTAAGCCCAAAACAAAAATTGAATTAAATCTTTTTTTGGCTTCAGAGGGGATTAAAAAAGAGTGGAGCTAAAATAATTTCCTATTTTCCATTACAGCAAACACAAATCCCAGACTATGCTGAGCTTATTGTTAAGTTTCTTGATGCCTTGATTGACACGTACTTGCCTGGAATTGATGAAGAAACCAGTGAGGAGTCCCTCCTGACACCCACATCTCCTTACCCTCCTGCACTGCAGAGCCAGCTTAGTATCACTGCCAACCTTAACCTCTCTAATTCCATGACCTCACTTGCAACTTCCCAGCATTCCCCAGGTTAGTAAATGTGATCTTTATGTAACTTTGAGCAATAATATTAAGATGCCAACATTAGAAATTCCCTTGTGATTAGATTATAGCAGATTTTGTTCCTTTTTCTCATAAAGTTCATCTTACATTTCATCTTTACTTTGTAACTGAGTTGAATGATGTTACTCTACAAAGTCTTCTACTTTCTAAGGAGTTATATTAAGAGAGTCAGATTTCTATAGTATTCACAAACATAGGTTTCCAAGGTGGGTAAGTTTTTAGAATTGGGCAAGAAGAGCAACCTGAGCTGCATTACCCTGTAAGTGAACAAAACTGCAGTTCCTTTACTAGACATGCAGTGCCCTAAAGGCTTCTGGCTTTCTGATACAGCAGACTGTATCAAAAAACATACAAAGTCTGATAACACCCTACTTACTTGCTACCAGGAGCAACCCATAGTCCAGCCTAAGGATCTGGGATTAAGTAACATAAGCTAGAGTGGAACTGAGATAAGCAAGACAGTAGAAGCAGCAAACTTACACAACTCTGGGCTTGTTGTTGTCAGAGTGAAGGATTTCATAAAGCTTTGGTTGCTGCCAGAAGTATTAGCAACCAATGCTGTTGTGCGTGTTGAGGTGACAGTGGGCAAGGAAGGAAAGCTGTTATAGTTATGTTTTCTCTTTAGAGAAAAGCTCCTCCTAAAATGGTTAAAATGAAGTGAAAATTTATTTAAGGTTTGTTCTATTGTCTGAAAAGTTGACTCATGAAATAGCCAATTCTATAAAGTTCTTTCAAGTAGTTCATGTAGTTCTTAGTATGGATTTTTTAAAGAATCAAGTGATAAAATTATTCTGTGATTTTTCAAGATCCAGAGGAGAATCGCCAATTCATAATCCCAGTACTGCATGAACATTTCCATTTATGTGGTAGTGTGGAAGGTTCTGAAGAATATCCAATTTATATTATAAACCATTATGTTAAAAAGTTATATTCAACCATTAAGCTTTCAGCATTTATTTATTGGTCACTGCACAGGTGATCCTTTTTTGTCCCAGGAAATGAAAGAAGTCTGGCCAGCTCCTTTTCCCATATAACCATGTTCATCTGCCCCCATCCTTAGTCCTAGGACAGTGTTTCTTCAAGTATGGTCCCACGTCAGCATCATCCGCATCATTTAGGAGCTTGTTAGAAATCCAGATGATACTCAGCCAGGTGTGGTGGGGCCTGCCTATAACCCCACACTCTGGGCAGCTGAGGTAGGAGGATCACAAGTTTGAGAATAGCCTAGGTAACTTATTGAGACTGTCTCAAAATAAAAAATATAAAAGAGCTGGGGATATAGCTTAGTGTGAAGGTGCTACGTTCAATTCCCAGTACTACAAAAGAAGGAGAGGGAGAAAAAAGAAAAGGCAAAAGAAAAAGAAATGCCAAAGACAGATGCTGGAGCCTTGTCCTAGACCTCCGATACATGGCTCTCCATGGGTGAAGCCCAGCCAGTAATGAATGTTTTACACCCCAGGTGATTTTTACGTACACTGGTTTGAGAAGCACTGCCCTAGGATCTGCCGATGGTCCTGCCCTGTTATCAGCATTTCAGCTATTTGGGCCAGGGCAGCACTTAAAATTTACTTTCTTCCAGATACTGCAGCTATTCAATTTTCTCCTTGCACACTGCACTCTCATAAACTCTTAGCATGTTGGGGCTGGGGATTTAGCTCAGCAGCACAGCGCCTGCCTGGCAAGCGTAAGGTCATGAGTTCGATTCCCAGTACTGGAAAAAAAAAACGAAGAGGAAAACTCTTAGCATGTTGAAGCAGAGCACTGTACAGGTAATTTAATTCCATACTTAACAATGCTACATTCAGTGGGAAGACGGCATTTTAGGAGCACTAGCTGCTTTATCACACAGTTCTTGTACATAGCCAAGGCAAATGTTCTTACACTGCACTTTACCACCTTCCCCACTTTTCTCTCATATTCTCTTCCCTCTGTATTTCATTCATTCATTCATTTCTAGCTCATTACTTCTGTCTGCCTTAACTTTAATCTACCAGTCCTTTTCTTCTGTAGCACTCCCTATTTTCTGCTTTAATTTTTATTTATAATTTTCAACCACAAAAGTTTATCACAATTAGAAAAATAGCTCAGTAGTAGAGTACTTGCCTAGCATACATTCAGTCTCCAGCACCACACGCAAACACATGTGTGCACACACACACGCATACACGCACACACAGATTAGTGGGCTCTGTCTATGTGGTCCTCTCATTTTTAAAGTTTGGTTTACCTTGACCAAATTTTAGCCTTTTAAGCTGCTAAGACGGTGTTAAACGTGTCAAAAAGGTCAGTTATTTTGTGATGGTAGTGATTTTATGGTACCGGGGATTGAACTCAGGGTCCTCATGCTGAGCTTCATCCCCCTCTTTATTTTGACAAAGTCTCACTAAGTCACTAAATTGCCCAAGCTAGGATCAAACTGCAGATCCTTGTGCCTCAGCTTCCCAGGGTGCTGGCATTCCAGGAACATTCCACAGTTCCCAACTAAGGATCCTGGTTTCTTTGTACCAGTTATTGCAGTTTTGTCATCTGTTCTTATGAAATATCTCATAACGGTTAAGAATTGACACTGAGGCCAGTTGTGGTGCCACACACCTATAATCCTAGCACTCGGGAAGCTGAGGCAGAAGGATCCCAAGTTTGAGGCCAGCCTGAGGTACATAGTGAGTTCAGGATTAGGCCAGCCTGAACTACACAGCAAGACCCTGTCTCAGAAAACCAAACACAAGAGTTGAAACTGTGTGATTAGGTATGTCACTTCATATCTTTATCTCCTTATTTTTTTATGGACTGAGTTTACTGATATCAAAAGGCTAAAAGAAATGAATCTTATCTAGATTCCTAACTCATTCAAATTTGCTGTTTAGCTGTATAGAAACCAAAATACTTCATCTGTCCTCCCAGCAGCCACATCCTCAGCAGTAGCATTTACAGACCTCTGTGTCACTGCCTGAAATAGAGCACATATCCTTCTTCCAACCCCCATCCCTGCCCACGATGAGACCTCACTTAGATAAGATTGTAATGGTACTTCCTCAGGTATCAGCTTTGAGGATGTAATGGTCTTTCTCATTTCTCTCTGAAAATGTATAAGTGCACCCTTAAGAACGTCCAAGAGTCTTCTGAATCCCCTAATAGAAATTGAACTTGTCATTAGTGGAGCTAATGGACTCTACCCAGAATTCAGTGCTTGTAAAATTGTGTTTACTGTAGCCCTCTAGCCAAATGGACACACAGTTTTGCCTCTTCAGGTTTTCCTAAATGCCGGTGAGAACGTCCTGAAGAGAATACATAACATGTGCCAGTAATACAAGAGTGTTTCAGACTTGATATTATGATCCTTATTAGGCCCAGTGTATCTGAGCCAGACATAAACTGAAGAACCAGGATTAGAACTAGAAAATAAAACCTGGCCACCTATTTAAAAAAAACCAAAAACTATTTATTGGACTGTTTCTTGGGTTAGCCCCAAGCCGTAAGTGGTTTTCCCAGCTGATGAACAGAGACGTTTCTAAAAGTCCTATGTTGAGTGCTTCATACCCATTTTAGGTACAGTCGACCTTTGTCCTCTTTAAATATTAAAAGAGCAAGTATATTGGAATAAAGACCCAGATAGTGGGCTGGGGGTACAGCTCAGCGGCACAGTACCTGCCTGGCAAGCACAAGGTCCTGAGTTTAATTCCCGGCACTAAAAAAACACAAACAAACAAAAAAACCAGATAGAATTACATGGATTTTGTACATATTAAAGAGAAGTTCAAAGGATGCAGCTGGTCCCAGAGTGTTGAAATCTACTTTATGTTTGTCAGGCTCTCCCAACCCTTTTCACAGTGTGATTGAGTAAGCATTTGAACACCTTTCCAGTGTGTGCTTGGGCCACTCTGGGCCACTTAAAGACGAAAGAGGCTCTGGTCACCTGGGGCTTGACAGTTTTTGCTCATGGGTCTCAGGGTTTAAGGTTTTAGGGTTTTGATTTGGTTTTATGACCCACATTGTTTAACAAATTCTAAGCATATATAAAAGTTCTTTTGATTTTAAGTAGAAGATACATAATGCAGTGCTCTGTAGAAAGGAGCAAAAATTCCAGATCTTCATCTCATAGTTGTTCATGGTTTACTCTGTGAGCGGAGCCCCAGGGCAGGGTACCTGCCTCCAGGAGCTCTCAGTTGTAAAGACAGTTAAGTGCACGGAAACTACTTGGACCTCTTACCTGTGATACTTGGCAATTGTGCTTTGTATGTAAATTATTCTGATAGTTCAAAGGGGTTATTTTGGAAGAGTCAGGTAGTAATGATGACAAAAGTTTTATGGCACATTTTTTAACCTCAAAAATGTGAGAAGTATGGTTTTTTTTACAAAAATAAATAAGCCTATGATCTATTTTCAGTGTTTTATACTAAGAAAAAGTTTTTATTTATTTTTTTTTTTATTTTAAAGAATAAAAGAAGGATAACATAATAATAGGGGGGACTTAGCAAATTACAGACAAAATGGTAGGAAATTATCAATGGTTATCGTTTTACATATTATTATCTACAAAATAGTTTCTCAGGAAAACAAATAGACAAATAATAGTGAGTTAGAGACAAAAGAGGTAGGAGATTATCAAGAGAGAAGTTTTTAATTTTTCTCTTTTATCATCTCATTTTGGTGATAGTATTAGAACACAGATTTTTCCAGAGCAAAGACATACTAGTTATTCTTTATTTCAGGTTCACTTCTTCCACTTTATTTTTGGGGCTTCATCCGTACCTGGCACCCATTCTTTCGCTTCACCCTGTGATGTAAACATCCTTTTAGAGAAGTGGGGTGGATCAGCTAGCTTTTCATAAGCACCCTAAGCCAATTTTGCTGATAGCTGCTTGCATGGAGAGACATTTCATCCAAACTGTGTCTCTGAGTTTAGCTCTGAGTCATCAGTATACCTATTATGTTTGCTACATTTAAAATAACTCCCTCTTAAAAAAAAA